CTCTCTGACGCCTCTCTGACGCCTCTCTGACGCCTCTCTGACGCCTCACTGACGCCTCATTTGTGTTTTTCTCTTTCAGGTCTCACGTTAACGGTAACGTGTCGATGATCAAACTACAGAAGCAGCTGTCTGAGCGGTCTGACATGGTCTCAGAGCTGGAGGGACGGTTTTTACAACTACAGGAGGTGAGATCTGCTCACAGATCAATGTAGTGATGAACAATCAATACGTGCATCTCTGTGAGGAGCAAGTCCTTTAAAAACACAAATATATCAGAGATCTGCTCAAAGAGCTGCTCGCTGTGGGTTTAATCACATGTGTGTTCATAAAGAGGTATTAGGGTGCTTGTTAGTAGAAACATTTATGGTTTTATTGATGAGAAGAGAACTAAAGACTTTTACTTTACAACGTGTCTCAGAGCCAGAGGTTGCTGAAGGCCGCTCACGACGCAGCAATGCTGAAGGTGGCCGAGCTGTCGGCTCGGCTGAAGGACGAGAGGACGAAGAGTTTGGACCTGGAGACGAGACTGCAGAGCTCCACCGTGTCCACGAGGAAGACAGAGCAGGTTTGATGAGATGTGAACACAATCTGATGTAACTCTAAAGGGTTGACTTCATATATAAAGGTCTGTTCTCTGGTGTGCAGCTGCAGGAGAGGATCAGTGAGCTGGAGCAGGAGAGAGACCTGCTGAGGGACAACAACGAGAAGCTGGTACACAGGTGAGGACACACTGGTCTCATGTCCCACTGTAACCTGAGCCCCGTTCAACCAGCTCAACCAGTTAGCATGTTCACCACAATCCTCAAAGGGACGACGCTCCACCTTTTATATGTGGACGTCTGATCGCTGCTGATGGTAAATGTGGTCGATGTTATTGACCCAGAAAGATTCAATCTGTTGTTCTTCCTGCATCAGTGATGAAGTCTGTGGGAGGAAGATCTTAGATCTATAGTCTGATGGACCGACAGAGCCAGAGAGACCCTCAGTTCTAGACCCTCAGTTCTAGATCCTCAGTTCTAGACCCTCAGTTCCTCACCCTTTCAGAGTGCTAACAGGACAACAAAATAGTTTTGTAGTTGGTATTGAAAGACCCTTCTAAGGACGGGTGTTGGAAATTATCAGTAGCTAAAATGCTGTAATACACTGCATTTATATGCAAGTATATATTTGTCCCGATCAAATAAACATGGAATAAAATAACATTTTCATGGTGCATGTGTCGTCCAAAACGAATATCAGAGTATTCAGAGGCTGCATTAAAGCCGTGCAAAGAAGAGATGGCTGGTGGGGCTTTAGGGAGTCAGGACCAATGCATGCTGGGACATGTAGGCACTGTGCCGGGTCCATAAGCAGCAGGACTCATCTTCCTGCACTGAGGGACTTTTACCTTCAGCACTGATTGGACATCAACATAAAAGGTGGAGAATGATTTTTTAGATTTTGTTATTTTAACCCAGAAAAAACAGACCCGATACGTTTAATTCTCACTAACAAATGTTAAGCTAAGAAGGTGATGCTAGCTCCTACAGAGACAGACGTGTTTGTAGTCAGACGCCATAACTTTAACGTCTCCGTGTGTCTCCAGTGCCTTCGACGTGTCCCTTAAGCGGCGTTATCAGATCCAGGATCAGCAGCTGAAGCTTCAGATCTCTCAGCTGGAGGCGGCTCTGAAGGCCGACCTGGTCGACAAGAACGAGATCCTGGATAAGATCAAAGCTGAGAGAGGTAATGATACAAAATACATCATATCAGGGTCCTCCATGTTTATATGTAGCTCTAATGTTCATGAGGAAATATATATATATATATATGAATAATGATTTTTCATTTCAGACACAAACGAGAAGCTGACAGAAGAAAATAAGAAACTTCGACTCCAGTTTGTGGAACAGAAGCAGCAGCTGGAGGAACTAAATGGTCGTCTGACGTTCTACAGCAGGGTGAGATATTAATACTATTAATACAAATTATATTAATAAGGTCACTGCATTCTAAAGCTTCACTGGTGTTGTGTCTGTTAAAGGAGACGGAGTACGACGTGGCTGAACTCACCGAGGCTCTGCTGCTCATCAAGGTGAGAGTTTGTTCCTTGTTACCTGGAGACTGAACCCCCAAACTACACCTCAACTAGCTGCTAGCTGTAGAAAACGTCATTATCCTCCTATTTTCATCTTTCCGACGGTCCTTGAACACATCACGTGTGACGAACTCTTCCGTCACAAAAAGAAAACAAAACTAAGCTTAAAATGGTGTTTCATCAAAAACATTTTATTCTTCATGTCTCGAACCGTTTCCTTTAACCAGATTGTGTAAAAACATTAAGTTGTGAGCTCCTCAGTGAAACTATGAAGTCATGATTGATTCTTCTGAGACCAACAGTCATGTGACAACAAGGAGGAGAAAAATGTGACGTAAAAGTGTTCAATGACTCCAGTACTGAGTAATAAAGCTCTAGAGGGGTGATGGTTCATCCTGGTTCATCCTGGGTCATCCTGGTTCATCCTGGTTCATCCTGGGTCATCCTGGTTCACCCTGGTTCTCCCTGGTTCTCCCTGGTCCATCCTGGTTCACCCTGGTTCACCCTGGTCCATCCTGGTTCACCCTGGTTCATCCTGGTTCATCCTGGTTCATCCTGGTTCATACTGGTTCACCCTGGTTCATCCTGGGTCACCCTGGTTCATCCTGGTTCATCCTGGGTCATCCTGGTTCACCCTGCTTCATCCTGGTTCACCCTGGTTCATCCTGGGTCACCCTGGTTCATACTGGTTCATCCTGGTTCATACTGGTCCACCCTGGGTCATCCTGGTCCATACTGGTCCTGAGGTCTAACCCCTGGTCTTCCCACAGAGGCGTAAGTCCCAGAGGAGTGGAGACCTGATCTTCCTGAAGGAGGTGGAGGATGATGGAGTCAGACAGCTGCGAGCCGCTCACGCTGAGACCATCCAGGAGCTGGAGAAGACCAGGAACCTCCTCAGCATGGAGGGCCGGATCAGCAGGGACTACAAGGTGAGGCTCAGCAGGACCATCACACTTCGTTTATATTATCCACCATCACCTGTTCTCTTTGGAAGTAGACCTGGGACCCCGCAGTGTATTTAGGACCTATTGTTATTATTTTATTCTGAAGTTCTACACGGTTCTCCTGATACACCGTTCATTCACTACGTTTACAAGCACCACATATTCCTTATGATCTGTTTACACGGCTGCTGAATATTAGTATTCACTAATATTCCTGTTTACATGCAGACCTTCAAATTCATGTCTCTTCATCTTCATCATCATCAGTGAATCCAACATGGACGTCGTTCTGTTCTGTGTCGGGTCGATGTCTTCACACGTCCATCATCACATCTAAATATGGAAAAGTGGAACCTCAGCAACATTTAGCTTCTTAGCATCAAACAGTTTTTATCATATATATATATATATATATATATA